TGTGTCTCCAAGTTCCATCCTTAAAGAGGTCATTTGCTCTGCATATACTGGGAGATTGTCTTAGAGTAATACACTCTCTGCTTTCTGAGCTATGCCTAAGAGGGCAGCCTCTCCAACTGTGGAAAGACTTTGCTGTTGATCAGAGGAGGACCTTGATAGCTGTCACAGCTTTCAGTCATTGCTTTAGCTTTCGATTCTTTAACAGTGACACATGTGAGTAGGAGCGTTTTGCATAACCACTTAGCCCGGCCTCACAAATTGCCTTTCAGAGGAGTGAGGATCCGTCGATGCCGGCGTGAGAGGAAGGAGCACCTGCCGTGCGCTGGTGGTAAGAATACCTGCCCACAGTTTGCACAACTGAGACCTGCACTCTCTTTTTTTGCAGCTTTGAGATATAATTGACATATAAGCCGCAATAATATCTTAATCTTAGTGTTGTTCCAAAATTACCTTTTCACCCTCGCTAACCCTTAGAAGTAATGTATAGCAACATCGATTTGATTTTAACTTCCCATTTTTTTTCCCTAAACAAAGAATGAGCCCCTCTCTGTGTCAGGAGGGGAGCAGGTGCCGCCTATCTGGAGGTCCCCAGGACAAAAACAATCCCTTTCTACAGCTCTTCAGAGTCGTAGAAGGACCTCAGAGGGAAAAAGCACAGCAGATGTCAAGGAGGGTAAATGCAGCGAACCGACCACTGGGAGGATTGTGGCATAACGACAGTATGTCCAAAATAAAGAGAGAATCTTAGAAGCCGAGAGAAAAGACAGGTTGCCTACAGAGGGATGGCGGTCTGGCTGGCATTCCTCAGCAGCTTCTACAGAGCCTGTATTTCTCATCAGAATAGGAAATGGAAATAAAGACCTTTTTGGACACACAAAGACCAGCAGAGTTTTCTATCCTCGGCCTTTGATGGAAGGAATCAGTAGAAGCAAGGTTCTAGCAAGAAGGAACTCCAGCTCAGCAGCAGGCCACACCGCCAAAGAGCAAAGGCACGAAGAAACCGGACGTGTTAATCAACTTCGGTAACCTAAATGAATGGCCATCTCCCTGTTCGGGCTTGAATACAGATAAAACGTCTTTCCAGTGGAGTGTCTCCCTCTAGAGTGTCTGAGTATTTACTCAGAGTTGCCGCTCGTGGTCTGAAACTCTCCTGTTGGTGATGATCCCTGCCCTCCAGGCAGGGCTTCTTGATGAGAAGTCCACGGCTGGAATTCCAGCCGCCTGAGGACTTCTTCAAGTTCGGTTGTGCGTGTGTCGTTCCTCTGCAGATGGGACTCGTGGCGTTCTTTCCTGGGACACTTCAAGGGGCTTAGCACCTGGATACGTGGAAGAACTGCTGGGTTAAGGTGTGGTCCCCGCTAAAATGAGGTTCCATTGATGCGCGCGCCGAGGTTGGGATCCGATGACCTGAGGCTGACTACTGGGTAGTTCCTGTGTTTGTGGAACTCTTGGGGCTGTGGACAGACCGCTTTCCCCTCCTCGTGGTCCACGCAGTGCAACCCCGTGTGGCCAGCCAGAGCCGTGCATGCCGGGCCCCTGTGCCTGTCTCATCGTCACAGTCAGTGTTTGGTGGTAGCTGTTGCGAATTTCTAAAGGGAGTCACTGTCGACACGTCAGAAGAAGTAAAGCACTAAGTGGCCAATGTGAGATACAGTAATACGTTCAGTGCTGCTGTTTCAGGAATTGAGCACATTCATTGTCTAAGGGGCAGGGGCCATTAAGTTTAGTTATTACCTTTCCCAGTGAAATTTGCTACTGATACAAAGCAAATGCATGGTGACGCCTTAGCTGGTGACCATATGCAACTTGTGTTTTTATACTGTGGTGGTAATGTATGTTAGATACGTGCCTTTTATGTGTAATTTTAATTCCACTCTTCCACGCACTCAGTAGTCATCTACAGAGTGTACGGTCAAGCTGTTTCCTTCCTCGGCCTCGGTCCTAGCCAGGTCTACAGGAAGCTGTTCCCAAGTGGAACTGAGACCCCAGTAGCCTGCACCTTTGGGAGGCCTGCTGTCGAGGCACAGGGCCCCTCAGACACCTCACACGTCAAAAGGTCTGTTTTGCATGTGTAATTATCATAATAACTCAATCTGTTTCTAAAGCTGCTCCATTTGAAGGTACAGCCAAGCCACTGACTGGAGCTCTCAGATGTCTCCCCTGCCCCCGTGTCCCCAGGGGCAGGGATAAAGTGTGCCAATTCCAGTCCCGCTGGGGAGAAGACAACCCCCAATTCCATTTCCATTTCCCTCCCAGGACAGGGGCCAAGGGTATATCTCTCAGAGGGCGAAGGGTGCTCCTCTGTCGAAAGGTTACTGAGGGTGTGGAGACAGTTAATATACCTCTTGAAATGAGCGTATACTTCTTTTTTTTTCATTGGTAGAACCCTCCCTTTTTTATGTGAAATATTGAGAGATTCTCAATTTTGATTGAATAAGATAATAATCTCAGCCGATCTTTATTTTCTTTTAAAGAATACCTTTATAGAGCTGAAATGGAATGATAGGGACAACTAGCGTTTTGAGATGACCTTCTGTGGGCAATGCTGAACACGGGAGGGTCATGCAGTACGGTCTCTGGTCTCTCGGCCTCCCTTTCCTGGCGATTCGCAGTTGTATGAGGACAACCAGATTCCACTAAAACTTCTGCAGACCCATTTAGGGAGAGAAGGGACTCATTGAACTGTGTTGTACTCTAAATTGTAAGTGAAATCCAAGATTGATTGTTTGATAGGTTGGGGTTTTAAATGGACATTTTCTTCCATGTTATTTGTATAACTATATGATTCACCATAAAGATTGGCTTAGACAGTTTTAAAAATACTGATGTTATTTTATTCTTTTCACTTCAATTGAGGTTACTATTTTAAAAAAATTGATTCCGGCCTCTTTTTATGTATCCCTCAAACTACTACTTTCTTTGCCATTTCTAGAACCAGTTGGAGTATGTTATTTAGCCTAAAAGTAGAATAAAATAAGCCCAATTTTATTTTTTTTTTTTTTTGAAAAGTGAACGAGAAGCGCAGTGCGTGTTATTCTTTCCTGAAAGTGGGGAACCAAGGGTCGGATCCTATATTTTCATGATCAAGTTACACACACTGGGAGGTAAATACATTTTATGAAAATAATAGCTCTGCTGAAGGAACACTTGTGTATGTGATTGTGTGTGTGTGTGTGTGTGTGTGATTTTTTCAATGTGTGTGGCATAGGCAGGGGCTGGCTAGGGCAATGGCGTGACTGAACTGGCGAGCGGGGACAAACCCCAGTGCCACCCAGTCCACAGAAGTCTTCCTCTCCTCTTTTCTCTGGAGGGCTTTCCACAGCCTGTTCTTCTCCCCAAGAGCCACCACGTCTCCCACGGGCCCTCAGGCAACGGAGGTTTCTCGTCGCTGTCTCTCCTGTGCGCTGGGGCCTCTTCCCTCTCTTGGCCGTTGCTGTGGTAGGTGTCGTGTGTGGGTTTTGATTCTTGGGTCTTGGGTGTGGGCGACTGGCCCTCAGCCTGGTCACCACCATGGCTCAGCAAGTCTGCTAAGTTGGAGATCTAGTGGTTTCAACTGGCCCGCCAGTGGTCTTGATGCCACCAGCCTGGGACTCGGAAATCATTCATTTTGTGCCGCACGTCCGTCCGAGCGTCCTGGGCCAGGCCCTGCCCCGGGGGTGTGTCGTAGAAGTGTGGAAAGCACAAACCTCCTGGTGCTCCTGGAGCTCCTTGGGGCTCCTTGGTAACTTTCATTTGTCCCGGGTCTGGAGTGAGCGGCCATTTCCCCAAGCCAGGGAAATGTATATATTTGACCTTTTAAAATTTCTTTTTCAGCTTCCTATTTAGCATAACGGATGCATAAGACTGTCCTCAAGGGGTTTGTAAGAGAGAGAAAGAGAGAGACACACAAACAGGAAAGCATGTAACCACGTCTGCTCCCCAGAAGGCTGGATCTGTGCTATAGGGACGGCAGGCGGTGGGAGGGAAGGGCGACTGACTTTTCAGCTGGGGCCTGATTGTTGTGACAGGGTGTGCTGAGCTAAGCCTCGTGGTCTCTGGTGAGCACCTGGGGGGTCTGGCTTTGGTTGGGGAATGGATTTAGCGGACAGTGAGGGTAAAGGGAAGGGACAGGTGAGGCCAAGTGTTGGAAGGCCTTGACTGCAGGCTGCAGAGAAGTCTGAGTCTCCCAGAATGGCAATGATGTGACTTGCCCCCTGTTTCAGGGGGGTCCTTGATGGCTACGTGTGGGACGCGCTCAGAGAGGGGCAGGGAGGCCTGCAGGGTGGTTTTCTCTCATTTATGCGTTTACTGATTCCGGCAACACTTAGGGGGGCTTGCCTTGACTTTATATGTCTAAATGATTGCCAGTCTTAGATGCCACCTTAAGAAGAGTGGAACCAATTTAATGCCCTAACCCATCTATCGGGTTTGAAATTTACATTCTTGCGTCTTTCGGCTGAGTGACCAAGAGATACACATGAAGATGACTAGAGGGACGTCACTTTGGGGGTGGGCGTGTGGGCGCCTCCATCTGGGCCGGGAGCTTCTCCTGTCCTCTGCTTCACTGGTCCGTGATGTGTGAAAACGCAGCTATCTGCTCCGCCGCCGCGGATACAGATCGATACTGTCCTCACAATGGCTGAATTGTTCAAGATGTAATTCAGGGAAAACTGATGTCATTACGTTTCGTGATAAGAGCCGCAGAGACAAACTGGGAGAAATAGAATGGGTTGTCTTGACGGAATGCCTCCACGGCTCTGAAGGAGCCAGCCTACTTCTCCTGGTCAAGGATGGCGTTGCATTTTAAGCCTGTGGTGGTGGTTGTTTATTGTCCCTTTTATTTTTTTAAGGTAGGGAATGTTGTTCTTCGGACTGAGTGAAGTGCTACTCAGCATAAAAGCCGTGCTGTGGCACAAAGCCTGCAGCCATGACTAATTAACGTGCACTGGGCTAATGAGAAGACGGGACGGCTGTGGTCAGCAGCAGAACACTCACTCACGAAGGGTCTCCGTCTCTCCTAGGACTTCCTTCGCCGGGCATCTGGCCGGGATTCTCGTTGGACTCCTGTACATTCACGGGCCGCTGAAGAAACTCATGGAGTTGTGCGCAGGTACCGAGCAAAACCCCTTTGACATGACAAATTGGAAGTTCATCTTCATTTTTATGGGAACAGGAGCAACTCCAAGTTCCCTTGTGGTTCTGCTTAGGAATTCCTAATAGTCTCTTCGTAAACCAAGAGCTATACCAACTGGTACGGCTCCTCACACTGCTCCAGGGAGGCTGCAAACCCCAATGCTACACCCGCGGCTTTCTTAGGGGACAAATAGCAGTGTACGTGTATACTCTCAGCCTTAATGCTATTCACAGAAAACCACGAGTGCCTTGAAATTGCAGAGAACTAAAGTAATGCGTTGTTCTAAAACATTCTATGAATTCATGTATGTGCAAGGCAAGCTGAAAAAGAAAAGTGTGCACTGAAGTGCAAGGCCAGCATTTGGAAGAGTTCAGAGTGACCACTAGGCTCTCGGCGGGAGACATACTTGTGCATGGCCAGACCGGGTCTGTTATTGCTCAGAGGGTGGCTCCTGCTTTCTAAAAAAAAAAAAAAAAAATTTTTTTTGTTCCCTTCAAGTGGATGCTCAAGGAAAATACTTTATTATATTGATCAGTGTATGAATTTTTTAGACCCTAATTTAAAAGCTATACTGATCATGACTTTTAAGGACACTATTTTGCACACACTTGTTTTATAGACTCTGCGAGTTCCAGTAGTTCATCTTGTATTCAGTGGGCATCTTCTGAGACTGTTGTACCTTTTCTTGAACCACAAATCCTCTGTGTTCACAGTGTGTGCCGATGGCTGGTGTTCTCAAGAACCTCGTAGTGTTCATCCTATCAGAGGGCTTTCCAGGCGCCGCGCCGCTGCCCCTCTTGACAGGCTGTGCTCACTCCCGGGGATTTCTGCAGGCCGTGCTGCATCTAAGCAGATTCCACTTTTTGTATTTGCTTATTGCAGTGTTTCCAGTGTGTGTGCTCGGAGCGGGAGTGGGAGCTCCGCTTATTGAAAATGTCCAGTTTTATTATATTTTGGATACAACTCAATCATGGAAGTCTAGTAACGAGCTTTCTTGACCAAATGCTCTCCCTGCTGATGAAAGAAAAAAATTATTCTTGGGAGTTTAATGTTTTGTTTCATTTTTCTGTGTGTCTGAAGATTAAGTGGTTAGTAACGCTGTCTGCACACATTACCAAATGTAGGCAAGTGTTCCCTGTTGTCAAGATGCTTTCCCCCACAGTTATAATGCTTAAACTCTCAGCTTTCCTTCAAGATTTGCCTTTTTTTCTGTGGAGACTTAGTTTCACATGATTCTATTTTCAAAGTAATACAATAGAAAATAAAAGTTGAGAAAAACATTCAGTGCTATTTACAGATAGCCTGCAATCTCCGTGCCTATTTTTTTTTTCCTCTGGTAAAGCCAGAGAGAGATCTAGAGTAATCTGGGAATGGAGGTGACACAGGATCCCTGTAGAAAAGAACCCAGCACGTGCAGACTGCTGTCCGATCACTCCTGGGAGAGGGGCACCCCTCTCTCCCTTCCTTCCGCAGCGCCGACTTGCCCATCCCACTGCCCTCTGAAGACAAGAGGGAAAGCTCCCTTAGGAAGGGGAAAAAGCAAGGCTGTCCTAACAGTCTCGTTGGGGTCAAGTTCTCTCTATCGCCAGAGCATCTCTGCGTGTACAGAGGTCACAGAGCCCATGCTCAGTACCCTGGAAAGCAAAGGTCATCAATGGAAACCTTTAAGGAACTTCAGAGAGTATAAGTCAAGGTTTCATTGTCCCCCACATGTTCTAGGGCCAGCCCCAAAGAAACGAGAGTTTAGTTTAACAATTGTTTAGAAATTATTTGAAATGACCTTGGATGTGGTGATAAAGAACTTTCCTATTTGGAAAGCTTGGCAGTTAAAGTCTTACGACTATTCTGTTTTGTTGGTCCATGTGTCTGTTTTTATGACAGTGTCATCCTATTTTGAAACCAAAGCTTTGTAATGTAGTTTGAAATCAGAAAGTGTTAGGAAGGCTGTTATCAAAAAGACAAGAGGCAAGTGTTGCTGAGGATGTGGAGAAAAGGGAACCTGGGACCCCGTTGGTGGGTATGTAAGTTGGTACAGCCATTATGGAAAAAGAGTATGGAGGTTCTTCAAAAAATTAAATATAGAACTACCACAGGACCCAGCGATTCTGCCTTTGAGTGCGTATCCAAAGGAGCTGAAATCAGCATCCAAAGAGCTCTCTGCACTCTCATGGTCATTAAGGGTTATTCCCTATAGCCAGTGTCTGTGGATGGATGAATGGATAAAGGGATTGTGAGGTGTGGGAGTATATGTAGATAGGTAGATTAGATATGGGTATAGATATAGATATCTCCCATTTATATATATGTGAGATATATAGACATAGAATGATAGAACTTTACATGCACAGTGACATCTATATATACACAATGGGATACTATTCAGCCATAAGAAGAAGGAAATCCTGCGATTTGTGACGAAATCAGTGAACCTGGACAACATTACACTAAGCGAAATAAGCCAGACAGAGAACGACAAATACTATACGATCCTACTTTTCTGTGGAATGTCAAAAGGCTGAAGTCATAGAAGCGGAGTGTAGAACAGTGGTGGCCAGAGGCTGGGGGTGGCGGGGAGGTGTTGGTCAAGGGCACGGACTTCCATTAAAAGGCGAGTCGGCCGAGGACCTGATGCGCAGCATCCTGACTGCAGCTAATGCTGCGTGGTGTCCTTGCGGTTCACTGGGAGAGCACACCCAAGGACCCTCACACTGACACAGATATGGCGACTGGGAGGTGGTGGGTGTGTTCATTAACCTGACTATGGCAATCATTTCCTACTGTATATGTACATTGAATCATCACAGGCATAGCTTTTCAAAAAACTCACATTGCACCAAGTAAATATGTACAATTTTTTATATGTCAGTAATACTTCAATAAAAGGGGGGGAGGAACCTATGGCTATTATTAAAATGTTTGTTTCCTTCATATTTAGGCATTTTTTCTTCCAATACTGGTTACCCAAGACAGCAACGCTACTTTAATAATTCAGGTAAGTAGTTCACGTCATTTAATATATTTTAACTTAATTTTAAAAAACCATAGTGTTGGCCACTGCAGAGCCACTTTAAGGTAATGCTCGTGATGGTGTCGTCAGGCAGCTCACACGTGAGGTAATGGTGCCTCTCACATGCCCGGAAGCTGGATGCAGGGCCAGCCCAGGGAGCACGCCTGGGTGGGCTGGTGGGGAAGAGCAGGAAAGGAGTTAACAGTGCCGTGGAAACAGTGTATGATCAGCATGAGGTCTCTCAGACAGGATAAGATTCACACTGGACCCAGGTCCCTTGATTCTCAGCCTAGGAGAATGCCCCGCTGGCTGAGGGTTGGAAGTTAGTCTCAGATACGCAGTTCTCACAGGTCTCCCCAACTGCCTATTCAGAAAGCATCATGCTTATCCTAAAATAGCCATTCCTCTGATAGTTAATGCCTGGACTTTCTAGGTGTCTGTATAGGTAGAAAGGACTTGTGATTAAAGCGTAGGACCCATCTTAGGCCAACGCCCTCACATTCTGGCCTGGGGAGGCTGCCCTGCATGATCCCGGAGCAGAACCGGCTGCAGATCTTACAGAAGCCACCGGCCACGGAAGCCCTGGGTCTCTTTTGTCGTCATGCCCATTGAAAACCACTGTGGCTTAAACCTGGGGCCTGGGATCTTTGATGTCACGGGCCAGGGAGCTAATGTTTTAGACGCTAAGGGCTTTATTGGCCATATGGTCTCTGTCACAACCAGTCAGCCTGTCAGTAGCATGAAAGCAGCCAGAGACGATTCACAAACAAAGGGGCGTGGCTGGGCTGCAATAAAACCTCATGTACAAAAGTGGGTTGACTTTGGACGCCAGCTTGTAGTTTTCCGATCCGATCCCTGGCTTATTGTCTCCATTTCTCTCCTCCTGTTATTCCTGATATTTTTCTTCAAACCGTGAGCATAGCTACAGTAGCTGTCTTGAAGTCCCGGAATGCTAATTCTGTCTTCTCTGTATATGTAATTCTTTTTTGCATCTGTTTTACAAGATTGATTTTTCTCCCAGTTGTGGGTCACACATTTGCATATCTAGTAAGATGTGATTGGATGCTGGACATCACATATATTGTCGTGTTGAGTGCTCAAGTTCTTCTTCTTTTAAAGGAAACTGGACTTTGTTCTGGCACCCAGTTAAGTTCCTTGATGATTAGTTTGATCCTTCTGGGGCTAGTTTTAAAATTACTTAGGGTGGGTCTAAAGTAATTTTTTAAGATTTTATTTATTTTTAGAGAGAGTGGAAGAGTGGGAGAAAGAGAGGGAGAGAAACATGAATGTGTGGTTGTCTCTCACACGCCCCCTACTGGGGATCTGGCCTGCAACCCAGGCATGTGCCCTGACTAGGAATCGAACCAGCAACCCTTTGGTTCACAGGCCAGCACTCAATCCACTGAGCCACACAAGCCAGGGCTAAAGTAATTTTTTTTAGGGATAATTCTGCACTACTACTGAGGTGTTACTTTTCTGAGGTCTGTCCTGAACGCCTGTTGTTCACCAAGGGCTCTCCAACCGGCAAACGTCTCCCAGCCCTGCCTGAGCTCGGGAATGGTTCAGATTATAGCTCTCAGTCATTCTTGGCCTGGTCTCATGGAATTCCACCTATGCACACTTGGCTTAATACCCAGCAAATCTCCAGGGAAATCCATGCAGATTTCTGGAGGTTTCTTTGCGGCACCCAATTTTCTCTTTGGCTATACTCCGCCCCGCAAATCCCCACTCAGTGCAGGCCGTCCGCCGCATTCCCCAGCCCTACCCCGCCGCCTGGAAAGTGCCTCAGGCTCATTCCTTTGACTTCCTTTCTCTAAAGGCTCAAACTCCTGTGTTGCCTGTTATACAGTGCCTAAAAACATTAGTTTCATATCTCTTCTCCAGCCTTTGACTTGATTATGGCGGAGAGCTAATCCGGTCCAGGTCCTTCCTCCTGGCACAAGAAGTGCATGCAGCAACTTGAGCAGAGTGCATTCAGTACTGGCCCCGGGCAGGAGGAGAGGGGCTGCCGTTCCTGGGGTTTCCCCCAGGTCTGCTGGGTCTCCCTCAGTGAGGAGGAGTTCAGGGAAGCAGCACTGGTAAAGGGCTTTTCAGGCCTTGATGCAAAGTCCTGTTCGGAATTATCCAGAATGTGCTGGGGTGCCACTGAAGGATTTAATCAGTAGAGTGATTCTGCTGGAGCTACATTCAAGCCATGTATTTGATGTAGTTCTAAAGGCCGGGATCATGAATATCCATCTGGGCTGTCTATATGAATCAACCGAGACACTTTCCCAGCATATCCATGCCTCGAACTCACCCCAGGCCCATAAATCTGAACAGGGATGGAGACAGGGCCTTGGACTGCTTTTTAAAGGCTTCCTAGTTGATTCGAATGGGATCAGTAACAAAAACCAGAGGCTCAACGGCTGCTGTGGAGGTTACCTAGGTTTGGGGACCACAGAAGAGAAGACTGTCACTGTCCCAAGAAGAGGCTTCCAGAGCGGGTAATGTGTTTGCTCAAAATCCTGGAAGCGTGGCCTTGATGCAGGGGGGGTACCCGTGGCTGGGCAGCGTCAGCCTCCCTGCTTCTGCCTGTGGGCCCGCCCGAGGAGAGGCGGGGCAGCAGGGAGTCACCGGCGCAGCCGATAAGTGCAGTGGGCCCTTGAACGACATGGGTTGGAACTGCGCAAGTCCACTTCCACGTGGATTTCTTCGATAAATACACACAGTACGGTAAACATCTTTTCGTTCATATTTTCTTAATAACATTTTCTTCTCTCTAACTTAGTTTATTGTAAGAGTACAATGTGTAATACACGTAACATCCAAAATACGTGTCAATCAACTGTTTATGTTAATGGTAAAGCTTCCGGTCAGCAGGGGGCAGTTAGTAGTTAAGTTCTGGGGGGCGTTGAAAGGGATGTGCAGGTTTCTGACTGCATGGGGTGGGGGATAAGTACCCTGAACCCCAGCCATGTCCAGGGGTGGACTGCATGGTCACCTAGAGGGGCGCTGGGCCCTTCCGGTTGTCGGGCAGGAGCGCAGTTCACACTGACTTCAGGGTAGCAGGCTTCATGGGCCTGTGGTGACTCGGCTGGGCTGGGCTGGGCTGGGAGACCACTTCGGTTCTGCCCCCCGTGACAGCTCCCCTCCTCTGGCTGACTCCATTCTCTCTGCTGCACAGGCGACACGGCCTCTAACGCCTTGGAGTGGTTAGAGGAAAGGGGCTTTTCTCCTGCTTCACTGTCGACAGCTCCCCGAAGAAACAGGAATGGTCCCCTGGACAAAAAGAGTAACGCACAGACATGCCTCAGGCTGCCGCAGATTACCCAGTGTTAGTGTCTCATGGGACAGCTGGGGATAGAGGTTTAGAAAGGTTAAGTAACTTGGTCAAAGTCAAACAGGCTGTTAGGAATGAATAGAACGAGGACTGAAAACGCAGGTCTGTGGTTCCTAGCCCTTGCTTTTCCTGTTGGACACTCATACGAGATGAGTGTTCTGCTGATTTAACCTTACAAAATAGAGCGGTTCCCCTTATTGTCTTTTCTTCCCCTTCTATTGCACTTACTTTAAAAAAGCAGGTGGCTGGGGGTGAGCTGCTGCTTTCTTGCTTCGAGAGGAAGAGGCTTATGCACAGCAGAGACACAGACCAGGGAACTAAAGGCAAAAATAAAAGCCCCCTTTACCTCTCCACACATCCCCTGTGAGATCACCATATTTATATTCCTTCCTCTGAAGGGACTCAGTTTCTTCAAAGGCAGAGCAACACCAGGCCAGGTGGCCAAGTTCATGGTCACCGAGGGAACTTTGATGGGAGCATATGTATCTCTTATAAGTAGCGGTTTATTCTGACTGTGGCCGTCCTTCGCTGAAAAAGCCTTTAGAGACCAAAGAACCTCATGAATGTTTAAAAAGCTGCTACCAATTTCTCTCATCTTGGTGGTGTTTCTTGATCTCTTTCGCCGTGAAGTCCTGGTATGTGTATGAAGAACAGATGGAGGAGTAGTTAAGAGCATAATGATAACCAGAATCTCTTTTACTCCAGAGCCAAAGTATATAGCTACAAAAGAATATTAAACTAGTATTCATCGCAGGATATAATTTAAACTTATTTATCTTAAGTGTTTGATTGTTAGGTTTTCCCAGCCATGTTTATTATGAAGATTGAAAAATATCTGATTGGCCCAGCAGAACAGCTGTGGAAAATTGGTGGTCCTAGGAGACCTGGTCTCATTATACTAGACAGGGATGGGAGGTTTGGTCCTGTTGATGATTTATGACTGATGATATAGAACCCTTAACCACACTAATCTTTTTGACTTAAGGCACTAAAACTTTCTCTTTCTCTTTCCCCATGTTTTGTCTGACAAGTCCCGAATTAGATTTTATAATATTCAGATGTTTAGAGTTGTAGACTTTATTTGATTAAGGCTGGGTTATTGTTGTTTTAAGAAATAACAGGAAGAAAAAGGTTTTTATATGTAAAGAAAATGTTGCCTGAAATCATAACACACTTACCTGGAGGTTAAAACTCTACAGATGTAGGCGGTAGTTCTGATATCTGTGCAAGATGGGCGTGTGGAGCTCCTGGGTTATTTGGGATTTCAAATTGGCCGACACATTTGAGGGCAGAGAGGTAGGAAAGCTGCGTAGACCTTCCGTGACAGAATGACTTTCCACAGGGGCTTTGACAGTGGTAATGAGCCATATGGGGAAGTGTCCAATATGCGTTTTTGTTGCAATAGAGTAATTGGCACTCTTAGGGAATCGGACAGCCTCTGTTCAGGGGGTTGCTGAAGCATCGCATGGTATTCGGTGCCTTATCCATAAACAGTCTGTTATGTTTTCCAGTGGTTGCCCCCTCTCCTGTTCTTTGTGAAGTACATACATTGATTGTGTGTTGACGGTTTGTCCTGACATGGAGGTTGTCTTCTGTGTGTGTGTGTGTGTGTGTGTGTAGCATAAAAGCAAGATTTGTAGCCGTGCCCCAGGCTCCTGTACTCCCCGGATATGCAGCACGCCGGTGGGTGTGATCCGCAGCGCTAGGAACTGAGTTTTTCCGATAGTTCTGTGGTGCAGAGACCGATTTGAGGAAAGGCATCCACATTTAAAATTGGGTCCAGATCCCACGTCATCTCTAAACCATTGTGAGGCTTTGTGAAACTTACTTATATTTTTCTCCCGTTCTGAATGCTATAATGTTAATAATACTCTGACATGGGAAACGTGTGAGAGAGAACGTGGAAGTTGGGTTACTGGAGGTAGTTAGAAATTCTCACTAATTTTTACGACATTCAGAGCAAGGGTTGTCAGAATTAGCGCCCCCCCCCCAAAAAAAAATCCAGAACAATTTTATTTTACTATATAAACCATTTGTTTTTGTGACATTCAGGGACAGTCAGTAAACTAGTTGCAAGATTGAAGAGTGTGGCGTTGATCAGTTAAGACTGGACAAAGGCTCTGAAGGGACATTTCCCTCAGTGAGACACACTAGTGGCCAATAAGCACGTGCAGAGATGCCGTACCTCGTTAGTTATCAGAACCACGGTGAGATCACCACTTAACACCCACCGGGACCACTCTCGTTAAATAGACAACACCAAGTGTTGGTGAGGATGCGAGAATTCTGCACCCATATCTATGGCCGTGTGAGTGTAAAATGGTGCGACCGCTCTGGAAAACGTCCTGACAGTTTCTGGCGTTAAACAAGACTAACACAGGACCCGCAATTCCCCTCCTGGTGTGTACCCAAGAGAAGTGAAAACACACGTCCACATGAAAGCCTGTACAGAAGTGTTTACAGCGGCATTATTCACAGTAGTTACATGGTAGAAATAACCTAAATGTCTACCACCTGGTGAATGAATACACCAAACGTGGTACCTTCACACAGTGGAATGTTACCGGGCCGTGAGCAGGAATGACGTGCCAGTCCGTGCTACCACGTGGGTGAGCCTTGAAAACAGGATGCTAAGTGAAATAAAGCAGACACAAAACACCACCTATCAGATGACTCACTTTACATGCTCATCCCGAATAGGCGTAGTTCTAGGAACAGAAAAGTGGATGAGTGGTTCACTAGGGCTGGGAAGGGTGCTGGGGGTGAGAGCTAAAGGCTACAGGTTTCTTGGGAGCGAGAGGTGATAAAAAATGTTCTCAACTTGACGGCGGTGCTGATGGCCCAACTCCACGAACACACTGAAGGCCACCGAGTCACACACTGTGATGTGGTGGCTGTACAGGGCGTCGAGTGTGTCTCAGTGCAGCTGCTGCACAGGTACAGACGCGTGACAAACACTCTTACAAACACACGCCGCTGCGTTGGAATGTCTGCTGAGGCTAAATGGGTTTCATTGTCATTGCATTGTTCATAGGAAAACAGAGACTTTTGGAGTGCCTGAAAGTTCTTACGGGGAAATAGTTAAACTTTTTCCCCTCTCCGTCTCGTATCTTAAGAAAGCTTTTTATTCATGACCGACACAAAAGGAGGTTTAAAATAGCTTCAGGACCAATTATCAAAAATTCCGAATACGAGAGATCAGTTTACCAGAGTCTACTCAGCAGTGTTCCTGGCTTTGGCCTAATGGTGGATCTTTTTCCTGTAGTCTTATTAAAGCAATCAGAAGCGTATTTACACCCAGGCACATCCTGTGATTTTGGCTGATCAGGTGACATATGACACAAGACTCATAGTGAAAGGAATTTTCATCAGCAACAAAAAGCACAAAAATTAAACATTTGAAACATCATCTTCAAAGGGCATAAAAGAAAGGAAAAAAATGAAACAGATTATTACTTCTCTCCCATTACACCAGAATTAGATTGATATGTTTCTATGGGGGGAAAAAAATCTCTTCCAAGTGAATTCCAGAAAAGCGGGTGATTAAAGAGAATGTAGGAGTAAACCCAAACTGACCGGAAAAGACCGATGTTAATGACCTTGCAGAAGTGCACTTTGCTCCGTAGTTGGCCTTTATTCACGTGGTGTCTAAGTTGGGTGCTGAAGCGTTATTTAACGGCCACGTTGTCTCTTCTCCCATTTTATCTGGAACCGATTTCTTACAAGTAACAGCAGCCGTGGTCTCTGATGGGGAATTACACTGACAGAGACAGTGGCTCGTCTGTCCCAACATACTCATCGCTGCCCGGAGCATCGCACCTGGCGGCAGGATGCCTGTACAGGGCGGGGTGTCTGTAGATGCTAGCTTGCCCCCCGTGGCCCACAGCCACTGGACAGGAAGGCGTCATCCACTGTCGTTCCAACCGCCCCCCTGACTGCCGCCGTCAGGGCATCACCGAAAATGCCCCAAGTATGAATTAGCTCTAAGCTCCAAGAATTCATTGATTTGTCTTTAGCGCATTCCGGGCCCCCTCTCCAGCACCACTGACCACCTTCTACATGAACACCTTCTTCCCCTTCAGCACGTAAGGGCTAGCCCGTGCCCAGCGCCGTGCCGAGCTCTGAGGGTGCACCGCCGTGACAGGGCGGTCACCACCCACCCTCACGGGGGAATTCTCCACCTGCCACCTGTTCTTATTTTGAGGATTATTACCGTACCCAGAGTAAGGACAAGAATTGTTTTCTTGCCTTTGCTTACAAAACAGGAAGCGTGAAAACAGTCTGTGACCGTGTCCTGTCCCCTGTTCGTTGCGCCCACAGGCTACTCTGGGTACCAGGATTATTACCCTCACGGCAGGGCAGGCTCCCGGGAAGAGGTGCCCAGGAGCTACGACGCGTACACAGCAGGCCTGAGTGAGGAGGAGCAGCTGGAGAGGGCACTGCGGGCCAGCCTCTGGGACCAAGGTAGGGGCTGTGCACCCTTCGCTTACTGGAAAACGCACCTCCCAGGGCGAGAGGTTCTGAAAAAGGACGGTTTGCAGCCACTGAAACCTGAGACGGTTTATGCAGAGGCTGTGCAGGCGAGAAAGTGCGTGCACCGTGACTGCAGAGAGCCGGGTGCGATGCCCTGCTCCCCACGGCCTACACCCACAAGGTGCCAGACTGCGTGTGTTGTTCAAGTGCTTCTTTTTATAGGGCCTGCTGCACTCAGGGCTTTGGAACTGAAGTCAGGAAACTTTAAAAAAAAAAATCCTGAGGTGCACGGGGAGGGCTTTGCTTTGGGACTCACGTCTGGAGAGCAGGCTGCGTGTCCCTGGCCGTTGGGGCTGCCCACAAACTTCCCTGGCAGTCTCTCGGAGGGCTCGATGTGCATGCAAACTCGGGGTTCCACCCGACCCCCCGGACCATCCCCTCTGTGGGCAGAGTCCAGGAATTCGGATTTTTAACTGCCTTTCCAGAAGATGCTCTTACAAACTGATAGATGAGAACCACTGCATGTATTTTGCCGTCTCTGCTGTTGTTTTGGCTCACGAGTTTGGGTGTTACTGTCGTTACTATTTTAGTGGTGACTAAAAATCACCTACTCCCTCCACAAGCATTAATTAAGGTCCTATTGTTTCATGGACTGCGTTCGGTATGATAGTGACTACAGACAGGGAAAAGATGGAACCTGTCCTCACAAAGTTCACAGTCTCTGGGAGGGGGACCCCTGCTAGGTGCCCTCCCGCGGAGGGATCCATAGTGTCAGGTGCCTAAGAGAGGCTCAGGCTAAGCACTGCCAGCACGTCACGGCGGAGGCGATGTTTCACTTGGGCCTCCAGGAATGTGTAGGGCGTGCAGAGATGCGGAAGGGCCTTGCGGATGGGACTCGGTATCGGCACAGACACAGAAGCGGGGGCGCGGCCAGCCCTCACTTTTGGAGGGAGCGTTAAGAGAAGCAGGGGGAGAAGAGTGGGGAGCGAAGCTGGGGCCTGGTCGCAGGTCCTGGCAGTAGACAGGCCGGGCGGAAGGTGGATCGGCATCCGGTGTCAATGCCCACAGAGCTCTGCCTGGGGCAGCGATGGGGTCAAGGCTGTGTGTCACGACTCTGGCAGCAGGCAGTCAGCAGACAAGGGCTGAGCACCTGTGGGAGGCACCAGGCGTCATGCTAGATGCAGGAATACGTAAGTTACCGCCACGTGGTGTGTGACTTGAAGGAATACGGCCTCAGCGTGCTCCTTAGCACGTCCCAGTGTGCGTGGAGGTGGGGAATGACAGCAAGCGGGGAGCCGAGTCGGAAGACTGCTGCAGTGGGAACAAGACGTGAAAGCTTAAGTTATGATGTTGGCAAGGGAAAGTGGACGGGGAGAGATAAAGGACTACTTCTCAGGGGAAGAGTGTAAGAACTATGGTGTACAGTTGGCTAATACTGTGTAACAAATCACAGTAACACAGGCGGCTTGAAACAATAAACATTCCTTCTTGCTCTTGAGCGTGTGAATCAGCTGCACCAGGCCTGCATGGTCTTGGCTGGTGTGCTAGGGCATCTGCGCTGGTCAGCCGGGGCCGGCTGCTCTCCAACGGCCTCATGGACATGCCCACCGGGCCGTTGTCCGAGGTGATGGCAGGGGTCAGACTGGACACCCCGTCCAGCAGGCCAGCCCGGGCCCCTCCACAGGCCTTTGGGGTAAGGGCCCCAGGGGAGTGTAGGAACCAGCCAGGCTGGTTCGTCAGCCTCACTGTGTCTTGTTGCCTAAACAAATCCAGACCAGTCCAGGTGCATGGGCTGGGGAAGTCGGCCCTACCTCTTTGCTGCAACGTCACATTGCCAAGAGCATGGACAGGTGAGGTCCGGAATTTTGGCCAGTCTTGCAGTCAGCACACCACATGCAGTCAGAAGGACTGCCCGTATCAGGGTCACCAGAAGCCGGCCTTGGCCTTGGAGTCCTAAACTCGGGCAGTAGGCCCCAGCGCCTGCATTGTAACCAGTTCTCGTGGTTATTCCGATACACACAGGAGTTGAGTCACTGCTAGACAAGATAGGAAACATTACGGGCCAAGTAGAGCAGGGCAGAGCGGCTCAGCGTGGACTTTGGACTAAACCGTCTGTAGCACCATCGAAGGGCAGTGCAAGGAGACTTTCTGACGTGCCGGATCCGTTCCGTATGGGGATGGTCGTGGTAGAGGCACACAACGCTTTGCGCTCGTCAACAGCGCAAGAGCAAAGGTGAGTTGAAAGAAATTTTAAAAGAGGTAAATAAAAATTAACAGGGGACCCAGTGAAGTAACCGACAGTCTTGCAAAGACCATCAAAGACCTGGAGGAAGTTGTGAAGAAATAGGACGTTCGTTCAGTGAGATAGCGTCACCTCCCAGCACAGTCTCACGGCCGAGGGGAAATGCACCTTCGTGGCGGGGAGCGCTGGCTGCCACGCCCTGGACCCGGCGACCACACACGGCGGCATTTTCAGTGGGATGACCTGCCACCGTGCGTCTGACCCCCCGAGCGGATGCAAGATGTGGGCCGCAGCATCAGGAGGAGGTGCCGCTGCTAAAAACGTTTGCCCTGCCTCTGATTAAGTCATCCCCTGTGCGTGTCACTGTGCAGGAAATGCTTGGGGTAGCAGAACAGCGAACAGCACCGTGGAGAAATGACCAGACAAACCGGGATTTCCACAATTCAGTGAGACTGGTTTCTCTGGTGGGGGGAAGTGTCGTAAAAAAAAAAAGCAGGATGTGGTTTTTATGTTAAAAGGAGATAACCAAATGTGACATGAGAACCTCTAAAAACTGGCTCTAGAAGACATTTTTTTGAGAAAACTGGGGAATTTCGTGTTTGGACCAGATACGTGTGTGGTCAGGGAAATGACCGAGCTTTCTTTGATGTGGCCAGCAGCGCTGTGGTCCAGCGGCAGAGTGGCCTTTATTCTCGGGACGGGCACACTCAGTCACTGAGAACCCAAGTAGCGTGATGTCGGTCACCTGCTGTCAGAGGTCACCCAAGCAGCTCTCTCCTCTGCCTCCTGGCCCCTCCCTCCTGCCCTGCCTCCTCCCTCCAGCAGTTCTGCGTTCAGATGGCTTTGGGGAACTCTGCGAACTGCACCCTGGAAAACCCCGAAGGACACTGGTGTGCAGACTGTTCAAACGGGCTCCGCGGTCAGGAGACCCGGTCATTAAAGCCGTGCTCCCCAAACGTACTCGACCCGAACTTCACTTCCAGCAAGCGATGTTTAGAGCAGGTGGACCCAGTTCCGAGGAAGCCGGTCGGAAGAGCCTTCCTGAAGGGTGTCACACAGTAACTGGGGGCGGCCAGAGCCGACTTCCAGTGAAGTCTTCGATTAGGTTTGTCTGACTTGCAGTGAGGTTTTCCTGGAAACACTTCGTCAGTGTCTGGTTAAGAATGAGAATCCAAGGAGACGTTTTTGAAAGACCTTTAGTATTTTTTAGCCTTTTTTTCCCCTATGGAAAAATGTTTTGGTTGAGTTTATGATATAAAATTCTGGCCATGTAGTGCACTACTATTTTATACCTTACATTTTTTCATTCACTGTTGTGTTGTAATTATATTCTCATGCCACTACATTTTGAACATAGAGATCCTACATATATATTCTTAGATTTATACCTAAGTATTTCTTTCTTTTTTTGGATAGAGAACTATGATCCATTATAAATAGTACTTGTAAAAAAAGTTCTGTGTTTGTTGAGATTATTATATACTTCCTCTTCTTGGCTCTGTTGGCATACTAACTTATTTTGGTTTCCGAAGGCGAAGCAGGTTTGCACCCACAAGGTGAGTATCAGCTGGTCGTGATGTCGTACGGTCCATCCTGGTGCAGATAGCATGGGCGCCGGAAAGTCTGTGTGTCCTGCCCTCACTGGGGGGCGCGTTCCACAGAGTCGCTGAAAACAGCTCCACGGATGGGGTGTTCATGTTGCTCGGGTTCCCTCTGTCACACCAATTGCCTGTGCCGTGCACCCTTGAACACTGGGAGTATTTTTAGTGACACGGGTCCCCGTGAGTGATGTTGCTCTGGGTGCCTTCAGAGCAGCAAAGGCTTCCAGTGCCTCCAGTGTCACCTTGCTTTCGAGGGGGGGCTGACTCGCTGGAGAGGTTTCCTCAGAGCCTGCTTGAGCTTCAATTCCTCATGTGTTCTCTGCCCTGGAACTGGGGCGGGGGGGCGGGGGGGTGCGGTTCTCTGCCCACTCTCCTGCTGTGTCCCCGTGGAGCACCCTGCTGTTTCTTGTTAGTCTCTGCTTTGGAGTCTGGCGGCGGGAGTCAAGTGGGAGGTATGCTGTGATCCCGCCCCCCCCCCCCCATTCACAATATGTGTGTTCTCTTTCTGTATAGAGTAAGCTAAGGCTTTTTTAAAAACTAAGGATAGTTGACACACGATTTCACGTTACTAGCTTCGGGTGTACAACAGAGCGATTGCAGCATTAGTCTTAGTGTCAGACGGTCACTGTGTCCCTGGATCTGGAGGTGTTCCTGCACCTCCCCCAGGTTTAGAGATGTGTTGTGTTTTGTTCCACCTTTCTCTCTGTCATTTAAGGACTTTGATCCGGAGGGAGGGTGGGGGAGAGGGATCCAGGCAGCCTTTGATGCAGACCTCCCCTGCTGGGGCTGATGCTCCCTTCCCAGGAATGACAAAGGACACTTCCTCTGGTCTCTTCTGTGAGGTCCAGAGAAAGGCCGAAAGTGGGTGTGAATTCCTTTCGGTTCTGAGTTACGACGCAATCTGTGAATGTATTCTGTGTTCTCCTGCTACCTCACACTTGAGCAGTTTGTTAAAGGTTTGGGCCACCGTCCTGTCATTAGCGTCCTGCACTGTGTCCTAGGTTGGCGGGAGCTCCAGTGGCATTCTAGACTTCCGTTTTGTCGGTTGCCCCGCTGTCCCAGCTCTCTGACGGGCTCAGGAAAAGTCATTTGCAGATTGTCCAGCATTTGTGTTTGTTGTAAGGATGGAAGTGACGCTTTCTCCAGCT